ATGTGAGAATGCAATATTAAGATGAAAATATTTGTTGATCAGGTAAAGTGATCAGAAATTAAAAATCTAGATGGGCTATACTAATCAAAATGCTAATGTAGATCGATAAAGACGATTATATGTCCTAAGTTCTCATGAAATTATAATTTATCAGTCTCAATAGGTCACTTTCTATAAACCAATAAATATCATAACAAAGTTTTAGTTAATCATCAATAATTTTTTTACAATAAGTGAGCGAGAGCTTCACAACTTATCTACCCAAAATAAGAACAGTGTCACAAGTAGTATATCCTTCAATAAAATTTTTTAATCTTTTCAGTTTAGTAACAACTTGATTTTCCTACGGTCTTCACTTATTCATACTGTTCAGTAGACTACATTATTCGATAGTAAAATTTTATAAACGGAAATAATGTTAAATATTTCCTGGAGCTAACATACTGCAACTTCCGTCTACTTTCATACATAAATGTTACAAGAAGATGAATACATTTCACTTTATTTGTCCAAAATTAGAAAGAGGAATTCGACCCTAAAAGTTAACTACCAGTAACAAGGATTTTGAATAGAGTCAAACTAAATGAGTCATAATGACAGAGCTTGAGTATCATGATGTGATGGTAAATAGTGAACAATAATTATAACTAGTGAAAAGTTATGGGGAAAATAAACCGTCTAAAATGTTATCGTTATGTTTACAATCAGTGATATACTCGAAAATAATCTTCGATAGAAATAGCATATGAATTCATATTATCAAGACGAAAGCTGTAATAGTAGAATTTTATTCAAACAATAATAGTTATTTACTACATGTTAAATACATGGTAAGATAACTAATAAAACTAGGTTAACTAATTTAATTGTGAGACATTAGTTCAACAGTTTGTGGATTCGTAACGTGTACAAACTTGTTCTACAACATCACAATTATCGATTTGATAACACTATATCGGATAAAAGGACTTATATAAAATCTAAATGCGATTTAATGAAAGAATAGCTTTTATAGATACAACTGGCATGTTATGTTAGATGAATGTGGACCATGATATAGAATCATTTAATTTAATGTCTACATTCTATCCGATCAACAACTTAGAACATACACTATAGTTTTTTACCGCAAATCAGCAGTTATTGTACGTAACAATTTTGGAAACTGTTTATACTAAGACGGCGACATGATTATTTTAAACTGAGATTTTACTTCAACGACTTTTCAATTGATTTATTTACAGCATCAAAATTATGTATATGTGCCAATTTTCACAATAAAAGAAGTGAATCTGCTTATGTGAAAACAATATTCGGTTAACTTTAGTTAAAGAGCGGTGATGTAAGCTTTGCATTAAAATCTTATCATTTTAAGTGAAAGTATTTTTGAAAAGTGGTTTCTCTCACCACATATTACTCATATCAACCCTGATTATTAAATTCAAAATTTCATTTATTATATAAACTTATTCAGATTAACAATTCATATACATAATGCCTTAAACCTGAGCGCCTCTTTTGGATTATTAATTTAGATTTATTATTATTATTTAAACACATAAATATTGGTACAAGAGGGCACCAAATATATATGCGCCACACAAATCTCATTTAATTTGTGTATAGGCTGTGATACTGCTCGGGTGCCCAAACCGAAGCAGGTGGTTTTATTAGCGGACCACACCCGGAGCCTTTGACCTAAAGGTCTAGTCCACAAGGCAGTGGAGCATCGTAAGGAGATGCAGTCCCATGGTAGCCGGTGACCAACGATTGCTTCATACGCCATTTGTTCCCTCAGGATACTGGAGCCCATGTGCACCATTGGTTTGGGATCCGGTTAAAGCTCCAGACATTCGCTTTTCGTCCTCTCATTTTCGTAAAAACAGTAATGCCGCGAGAAGGCAGTGAGTAGGACTTCCCTGGCAGAGGCTATATACGCGTGGCCATGTGAGAGCATTTCGAGAGGGAGAGCGAACTCTCCCCACTTTCGGCCGTACCAGAGCATTTGGGGGCTAAATCATTACGTCAAGCAAGGATAGGATTGAATGCCTCGCAGTGTGAAAGCTGCTCGAGCACTTACGTAGAATTTAAAGAGAATTTATTAAAAAGAATATGCCATGTTCATATATTAGTGTTTTAATATGATGGGGATTTTCAAACATTTTTTTTGGAAGTAACAATTCCTTTGCTGATTTACCAAGTTAAAAGCCAAGTTATGTCTATTAAAGCATCTTTAGATTTTTCTTCACGCACATACATGCACACAAACTTATATTTCTTGTAACAAACTAAGTAACATTACCTATCCCATCAATTACCCTATTAAGTGACTTAAGAATTAGTAAACACATTAGCATAACCATGATTGTGTACTAATACGCTACAAATCAAAAATTGTTGTCCTGAATAAGTACAATGTGATAGATTCTTTAATCGCATTTTATTGTATTTGCCATTTTGTAGCTTAATGAAATTCGTTACATGATGTTGTCCCATAATTGTTTGAAAACCTGATCACGTGACCATTTTAAAAACACTAAACACAACTTACACAGATTTCATGACTTATTGACCCTTATTTCAAATAAAAGTTGGTCTGACGAAAAAAAATTACATGCTAGGACATAAACAATGCTACAAACTCAATTCAATTATTTTGCTCATTGGGAACGATGATAGTTCTGTCGGTGATTCTTTTTCAAATCTATGTAATAATTCTTTAATCAAACTTAACTACATTTAATCAAGCGAACAAACTTCTTTGACTACTTAATTACGCTACAATTATCCCGATTTCGATAAATATATACCCTAATGCATTTGAATAATTTATTAATGTTTTGTTTAGCTAGTGTTAACCATAGAGACTCACCAAAACTGAGAGTCTGTGATAGTGACTCCGGCTAATATCAAAACTAGGTAGAAGTATCTATCACACGAATAACAGAACGCTTCTTCCAGCTAGCACTATTTATTTTCCCAACGGCTCTAATGAGTAATATCAACATACAATAATTTATTGGTAAATTAATGTTTCACTGTAACGTATTTATATTTATGCAGATTTCAAATTAATATTTCTTTGAAAATGTGAATGCCTAATCATTCAGTCGACTTATTCGATCCACTTGCCAACCGGCCAGTTCTACCTGGTAAAATAATGAAGTTCTATCTTAATTGATAGCCTCTCCAGAAGTGTTTATCCTTCATTTTGGAAAACAACGTAAGCCGTACGGGTCTATTTCTGAATATAATTTTATGATAACTGAATTTCATAAACTAAACATAGTTCATTCCTTTAAAACTGTTATGAAGAGACGAAGTTTAACTAACCTGGTCTGGTAATATTGATTTATTATTATGTGGTGTGATTAACATTATCTTTTGTTTTCTATGATCCACCGTTTTGAACTTTGTTTTTTAGTTACAAATACCTCGGTAAATAAGTTCGTGACCAGATTATTCGAAATGTATTATGCTAATAGATTCAATAGCTCTGATAAACTTTGTCTTCGTCATTGTGTGATATGAGTTTAATGACTTTATTTTTACAATGTATTATTTTGTGAAACAAAGAATATGTTTTTTGGACGTCAATATTAATTTCTTAATTTTTGACGGAAAATTCTCTCTACTTTTCGAATCAAAAGGTTGAAAATCAATGACGAAAATGTTTATTGGAAAGTCGGATAAATAGGCTAATTTTCAAGCTGCCACAGGCAGTTACGCTTAACATCATGAACATAAGAAACTATTTTGTGAACAGTATGTCAAAGATCCAACACAGAATATACAATTGAAACTATGCGATTGTCTTCTAATCTAAGTATTATATTTGTGATCTGACTGATTGTTATCTCCAAAAGATGATCATGTGAATACCATGTTTTAAAGTAAACTTCATACATGAAAAACGTGAATCCGATTAAAATTATTTCAACTCAATTCTAATTTATGAGATAAACGCACAAATTCAAAATGGCAGGTTCATATATCAGTGCACGAACAAGTACAGTCAAATAGGGACAATTAGACCATATGGTCTATTTGAAAAATTAGGTAGGTTAATATCTCATCTCTTCAGACACCTGGGATGATTAGCCAAAGTCCCGCCCTTTTCGAAGCAGTCATACTCACACTTAACTTTACAGTAACTGTTTCTTTGATCAACCTAAACACCTATTACGCGAAGGCTAACATAGACTCTTCATTTTTCTTTGTTGTTGCGTATTACCATTAACACTCTTTGTGTAGACATTTTGATAATCTACATTTAAATTATTTTTATGCCAATTTATATAAAAGAATATATCATATTTACACAAAAATGCCAAAAGTTACCTAAAGCCGAGGATATGCTTACATTAGGTGAGCCTATTTGATGATCCTACAGGGATAGTAGACAAGTGGTCATCGAAGCCAAGTTTTTACAGGTAAATAAACTGGAAATGGGTGTAACTCATTTATGGTTGTTTAAAGAGTTCATAAATTGACGATAGTGAATGTGATTGATTACGGAGGAAGCCGAAGCAAAACGGAATAAATTTGGAGGCATTGCCGCCATCTTGGAACACATGATCACCAATACTCGAACTAGTCGTAATAAAGCAACAACACAGTAAAAAGATAATGCTTGATATGGAAGTTGCTATAATAACATTTATGGAGCAAGTTTAAACCGGTGTTACGGTATAAAGATCCGATGGACAGAATAAATTCGAAAGAAAATAAATTATTTGAAGTTAAAGAGGCGATTTTCTCACTTTTTATGCCTGTCATTGATCTCTTATGGTTCCTAAAGTACAGGGTCAAAACCTACTGTGTTTTAACGCAATCTATTTATCGTAGCATACATCGAGATTCGAACAAATCCTTGGTACTGAAGATACCAACATGTGCACTAAGTCAAGTAAAGACGGTAAGAAACAAGAATGAAAATATCACAACTAAGGGCTACGCTTCTTTCATGGAAAAGTTTATTTTGTACATTTCACAAAAAATCACACTGACGATCTTAATTCAAAATTGACGAGTCTCCGAAGCAGCTCGCGATTGGATGCAGTAACGCGATCGATTTCTTGTCTTAAAACTTTATGCTCTTCACTTCCCAAACTGTCAAATTTTATTTGGCTCATACCTGAGACAGGGTAAAAATCATCCATAAAGACGCTTGCTTCTTCTGACGAAAAATTCGACCTCTGTAAAACAAAACAGTACAGGATAGAACAAAAGTGATGCATGTTTTCTACAAATGTATATATTTAAAAGTGAAGTTTTTTAAACTAACTTCATAATACGATATCAAGGGTTATCATGGTATATGTATGATTACTTCACATATCTTATATAGAAATGAGGTAATTATTGTTATTACCATCATTTACTACTACACAAGTGGTTATTAAAAAGACTAATGAGGTGTGGCAACTCGGACCGATGCACATATGTGCCTGGTCCTATGTTGTAGCTGACTGACTGATAAAGAAGACTATATGTTTTTATACGGTGAGTGTGAGGACAAATCGTCCTTTGTCGCCAATCAGTGAATAAATAAGGAGACGGCTGAACAACACGTTTCAACGAAGAACTGTTAAATAGTACGTACTATCTGAAAATCCACAAATTTATTGACATAATATGTATGTGAATAAAAAAATGACGGAATCACTTGGCTGAACAAGTAAAAACATGTCATAAATCTTTAATTTTATGATTAGTAGGCTATGGGCTTTACCACATCAAGATTAGTAATCAGTCCTTTGCCAGCTGAACACAAGAATGATATTATGTTTCACAGACTATAGTCCAATAAAATCAGTACTAGAACAACGAGACTTCAAATTTACGTGACTCTTGTTTGACGATTTATCAAATTAAAGACAAACTATGGTGAAGAGCAGGAAATATTGTACTTTACAACTGCTATAATTAGATGTAATAGTTCGAAAGTAATATGGTGATTAGAGATGTGGAGTCGTTGTTTGCTTTATAACCATTTTGATACTTTATTATATGTGAATTATCTGGTTAATAATTAATTTATATTTCTGGGTATCGTGACAGTTCCACATACCTGCTCTACATCCGTAGTTAATGGAGCAGTCATTCTGTCCGCTGACATTTATTTTGGCAGAAATTTTGAAATAGGTTACGAGTCTAATACCTGTCTGTTCGGCTATATCGTTCAATCACCAATTATCCGATTATTTTATTGGCTAATCCTAGCGTTAGAACGGAAAGGTAGAAATATATTGCTATTCTACTACTAGATAGCTTGTTGCCCACGGAATTGTTTTTAAGAGAAAATACAGTAATTTAAACTTACCTCTGCTAATCCAGGTATGCGAACACACACTGTATCATCAAGCCTCCAACCGAAGTGGGATTTGAATGGTTCAATAAAACATGTCCGAGGATTAGAAGAGTTCAAACCTCCATTTTGATCTGTATAATGATCGGAATGGGATGAAGTTTTAGCATCAACTGATTCTATTCCAATGGTATTAGATAACCAATCAGGGCGAGGTATTAAACATAAACCTGTCAAACAAGCATTTGTTGAATCGTTGGTTATGGACGGATTGAACACTGAGAACCGCTGTATGCAAGTGAGTAACGAGTCAGGTCTCAGTATTTCAATTAACCCAAAGCGTGCACCTACCACTAACACTTCACAATTCGGATCCATCGCCATCATAATTATTGCTTTTTGTGAGGCTGACAAACTAAAAAATGGGAAAATAGTTAACTTAATTCGGCTGAAGAGCCTACAGACAGCATGTGTAAGAATTTCTCAAAGCGTAGTGGCATTCTAACCATCTGACTGTGGTGCCATGAACTAATAAGCGAAACCAATAGTTGGATACTGTACACAGATCGACCGATCTCGTTAACAACACTACTGATACCAATAACGATTTCAAGTTCATAAGATTAATATCGAGGATATAAGTGATTTGCTGTGATGCGATGGAATTATTTAGATACTCTTTGGTTTATTCTTATGATAGCTTAAGAATAATAAATCCTATTGACTGAGATCATGAGTCAATCGATGTCAGACCACCACAGAAAACCTGAACGGTTCCATACTAGGACGAAATGGTCGTCCAGTGTTTCCAGGTTTTCAATGGTGGTCCAACATCAATCGATCCATGGTCTCAATCAAAAACTTAATCTCCACAATCCCATACTGATCAACTCCTATTGGTTGGTCGACTGACCCCAAGTATATGTACGTTAAATAGCATCAAAAGCTCGTTCAGTAACCTGAAGAAAAGTCTTTAATATCCCTTATGTAATTCAAACATTGCACTATTGGAAGGTCTGAAATATTTCCCGAATGTTAATAAATGGGTACACGTACTTTGTCAAGTTTATAAATAAACGTATGTCAAGAGTTCGGTGGGTAACATTCAATATGAAGCATAGTTCTTAAAACTCGTAGATTAAGTCAGTTGATTTTTTGGGTTAACCACTTAGCTACGTGACTTAACGATGTCGGGTGATTCATCTTTTTCTAACTCCTCCCAAGTAACCAAAACTGACCCCATCAACAGTTGCCTTTTGATATAGCTTAGAGCGATTTGGGGTTTAAATCGTGCAGATAGTTGAAAACATGTAAGGACAATAGTACCTGGATTCCTATTCAGAGAAGTGAGTGGTAAAAAAATCAGTTTTCAAGACTGTATAAGTTGCCCTGACCTATCACCGTTCGTCGTTAGTACCAACGTCTTTCCATAAACAGGAGAAATGACTCAACTACCACCAACAAAATACCCACGCCAGAAAGGGCCCAAGATGTTCCTTTGGCTTTTTGAATGCCTAACACCAATCAATTGCCTATTTTAGGAATGTCGAGGTCAGTGGTGAAGTTTGAACTTAGCAACAAGAAATGTCTTTTGTTTTATTTATCATTCCGTATTCTCTGAGTCCGCTACTTCTTGTTGTTAATTATGTTACTATTGTTCTGAGAGTCTGTACAACTTAGTTTTCGACTTGTACTAATGACTTCATCCACGAAGTATGATTCATTATTTTTGAAGTAACGCTACCGACTGGATGTTGAAACTTTCCATATCCGATCGATATCAAATTTGACTGAAGGCGCTGCCGACTAAATTTTTAGAGCTTTTACTGGGTAATCATATAAGAAGTATATGAAGTTATTCACTTAAATACAATTGGTTGATGTGGGGAAGCCGTTCAGTATAATCTATGAGTGATCGGGAATTGAGTAGCTAGGTCTGGTGGTCTTGTCAAAGACTGAACTTAGATCATACAAGGATCTTTGTCTGTCTGAGTGGGGGCGAAAACAAACATCGTAAAGTTATTACAGTACTTAGTTAGGAGATGGTATTTTTTTCCTGGTCTCGTGAAACCACGCTCTGAACTACACGTAGGAGCTTTCAACGTCCGAACACTGTGCCAAATAGGACAACAGGCTTCCTTAGCTAAGACTTAAGAATCTCGCTCCATCGATGTGTGCTGCGTCTCCGAAACGCGCACACAGGATCCTAGTAATGTCATTCATCTGACCGCACCATGTCAAAGTAAAGAACCAACTCGATTTACGCTTCGTGTATCTGGAAGCCCTGATGCTGCTTCCCGTGGCCTCGCTGGCGTAGGTATAGCATTGCGTCCTAGGGCAGAACTAGCTCTCTTAGACTGGATCCCAGTAGACAGTCCTTCGTGCGCTGTTCGACTAAACGGAACAGTAAGGACTCGGAAAGATAGGAACACTCATCGTTGCCTCTTCGTCGTCTCTGCCTACTGTCCCACTGACTGCAGCTCAGATGATGTAAAAGATGAGTTTTACAGAAAGCTATCCGACCTTCTCCGAAAAAGCTAGGCGTTCAGATGTAGTAATAGTGGCTGGTGACTTTAATGCTCAAGTAGGTAAACTATGCGAAAGGGAAAGACACCTGGGTGGATCTTATGGTATCGCGGCTCAAAGAACAGATATCGGCGACCGTCTAATGCAGCTATGCTCAAGTAACCGCATGTTTCTTGCAAACACTAACTTTAAGCATGAGGAAAAACATCTTTTAACATGGAGACACCCTAATTCGTCCCAACGCTGGACCCAAATAGATCACATCGCTATCAGCCCCGATGGAGGGGCTCGATAGAAGACTTTCGCTCATTCTGGAGCACATGCTTAGACTCAGATCATGCTCTAGTGCGAGCGCGTATTTGTCTACGTCTTATTGGACGTAGGAAAGATGGTGCAAAGAAACCTCTTAGGGTCCTACTTAATGATAGTCAAGCTAAGAGTATATTTCAGGAACAACTAGAAAAACAGTTAGGCAGTCATGTAAGTGATGCCCACCCCGAGGCAGCGTGGAATGACATCCGAAAAGCTGTAGAAACAGCAGTGATGTCTGCAAGTACGGTAAATCATAAGGTTAGGGAGAAACACTGGATCTCAGCAGCGTCTACCGCACTGATAGATGCTCGAAAACGCATTCCATCTGGCTCTGAACATAACGAAGAGCGGAGTCAGCTTAAGCGTAAGCTGACTAGAAGCCTACGCAAAGATCGTGAACAATGGTGGGTAGCGAAAGCAAGAGAGATGGAAAAGACAGCGGCAATAGGTAACAGCAGGCAACTGTTCAGACTTATTAAGGAAACCGGTATTAGGAACCCAACTGTTAGCGAAACAATCTCAGAGAAAAATGGACATATTATTCATACTCAATCCAGGAGATTGGATTGATGGGCAGAACACTTTAGGAATCAGTTCAACTGGCCTTCAGCCACTCTTCGGTTTCCCACGATCTCCAATCTATCTGAATGGCAAGTTGATGTAAGTCCTCCGACTCTTTACGAAGTTGAAAAAGCTATAGGAAATCTGAAGCGTGGGAGAGTAGCAGGCCCTGACAGGTTTACCCCTGAGATTTTTAAGGATGGCGGTCCAGTATTAGCAGCGAGATTGACTGAGGTCTTAGGTAGAATCTGGGAATTGGACGTAATCCTATCTGACTGGTCTCAATCACTGATCGTGCCAGTCTATAAGAAAGGACAAAAGTCTTCTTGTGACAATCACAGAGGTATTAGATTGACTAATATAGTGTCTACAATATTAGCTTCAATAATACTTCGACGTCTAACCAAAGCTCGTGAAGAGCAGACTAGAGAAAACCAGGCTGGTTTTCGACATGGACGTGGTTGTATAGACCAGATATTGACACTACGTCAGGTTCTAGAATATAGACACACATTCAGACGCCCCACAATGATAGTATTTCTCGACCTTAAGACGGCATTCGACTCTGTTGATCGTGAGGTCCTATGGCAGTGTTTGTCTCTGAAAGGAGTACCAAAGAAGTACATTAACCTTATAAAGGCTCCTACGTGTAGTTCAGAGCGTGGTTTCACGAGACCAGGAATAACGTTCCGCGTACTCGAATCGTTTGCACTAGCGGGGCGAGGTGATAAAGAGACGTAAGAAGGGTTAGTCGTGGAGATAAGAGAGTTATTAAGAGGTGCAGGAAGGATTTGAATGTGACCAACGTGGTCTCGTGTGTTGTTACGGGTATGAGGGCTGATGTCACTTCCCGGCTACCCACACCGTGGAAGGGTATTTCTTGAGGAACCTGAAAAGAAAATCGGATTAGCATTGGTCTTAACGACCTGGGTGCGTGACCGCAGAGCCCAAGGGACAACTCCTTGAGGCCAGTCGCGCATGGCCTTTTTGTGGAGTGTTTTTAATGCGTTAGCTTCGTTCTTCAAACGGCCTTACCGCCGGAGACGGGAATCCGTGGGGTAAGGTGAGGTGTGAAATTTTTAGGGTCGACCTTTTCTAACCCTTTACTTCCTTGTGAGAAGGCAGCATCGCTGCAGATGCTGGTTGTCCGAGGGAAACACCTTACTGCTGTCACAGATCTGTACAGTCAGCAGTACGACTTCGCCCCCAAATGCCCTGGTATGGCCGAGAGCGGGGAGGGTTCGCCCTCCCTCTCGAAATACTCTCACACGGCCACGCGTTTACAGCCTCTGCCAGGGAAGTCCTACTCACTGCCTTCTCGCGGCATTACTGTTTTTACGAAAATGAGAGGACGAAAAGCGAACGTCCGGCGCTATAACCGGATCCCGATTCTATGGTGCACATGGGCTCCCTCCAGTATCCTGAGGGAACAAATGGCGTATGAACCAATTTCTGGTCACCGGCTTCCATGGGACTGCATCTCCTCACGATGCTCCACTGCCTTGTGGACTAGACCCTTGGGTCAAAGGCTCGGGGTGTGGCCCCCTAAGAAAACCACCTGCTTCGGTTTGGGCACCCGGGCAGTATCTCAGCCCACGCACTAGAACCATGATGATGAACAATTTGCTTATGGAAAATATTCCTTTCTATCTGATTAACATTGAAATAATTCGTATTATTATTATTATTACTATTATTATTATTATTACTCTACCACGTCATTTATTCACCCTCTCTTATTCCTACTTTATGTATCCGTTTCGACTCAGACAGCAGCTCACCTATGGTGAAAATTCAGCTTTATCTAAACGTACTCGAGTCACTGCCTGGTTGGAAATTGTATATTACCACCGAATATGAATACTGAAGCAGTTTTTCTGAAACCACGTACACCATTCAAACTGGCTGCCTTCAACGTTCGCACTCTTATGCAGGTCGGACAACAGATAGGGCTGGCTATGTCTTTGGAAAGTCTTAATATCAACGTCTGTTGTCTATCCGAGACCCGTATTCAAG